CTTATTAGACCATGTGTTGGATAAAACATGTTAATTGACATTGACAAATACACATTAAAGAAATCGCCATCGGTGAATCATAACTTGCCTTACTTTAAACAAACCACCATACACATACTGATTAAATAGTGTTATTAACATACGTGCATGACACATTTCATACATATACAGAATCTGAATTGACCAGGTAATATATGAAACAATCAATCACAACTTTGCAACACTAGAAAACCATAAATGCTTTGATAAAACAATGTTGAAACATGTACAAATCACATGTTAAAAACATGTACAGAATTAATCAGAGAACATGTAAATCTTTCCTATAAACTTCAAGTAAAGCAAACATGTTTTAATAAAATACCTTATATTATACATGTTGAAACATGTACAGAATTCACAATCAGGGAATTACAAATGTACATGTACAAGCTTAATTTGGTAAAGCTTTTTTACTACCATCTTTTGGTTTATATTCTTCACAGCATTCTGCTAAGTCTATTTCTTTTTTGGGAACAGTAGGTTTTGGACATATGCATTCTTTTGCTGTCTCTGAATAACAATACTCTCTGATGTGGTCACATGTTCAAAGCCTTTAATGACTGATAGAGAAGGAAGAACACCTGGATTCGGATCTTTACTTTTGCTTTTCAGTAACATGAAGGTGACAGGCTCAGAGGAAGCGTTTTCCCGACATGTAATAATTCCTGGATTCTCTGAATCCATGTAGAAATGGTGGTAGTGGGTTAGGTATTTCAGTGGTTTAAAATACAGTTGTACATAATTCTTCCATTCATAGAACAAGACAGGATGTTCACCATCACCTACAACCTGTGGTATATTATGACTACTTCTACTGGAAGTGCTAATGGATTCTGCCACCTTAAACACAATCATATGGAAAATGTTTTGAAAAGACATCAGAAAATGAAATATAAAGATCTCTTATTTTTTAATTTCAGAAAGAAAACTTGACAAAATAAATATATATCATGCCTAGATACATGTATATTTTCATGTACTTGTAAATAAAAGTACCTGTGGTATTGTTTCAGCATTGGTGTTTCTCCAGTGCACCTTCCAAACACCAAAATGTCAATCTGGCTCAAATTTTGTGTGACCAGCTACCATTATCGAGTATTCTGTGGTTCTGTGTAGCCCTGAAGGAAATGTTGAAAACTTTTAATATCCTTTCCTTTCCTTGCTGTTGATATATATTGAAAAATTTCATGTAAAGTGTTGATAACACTAATAAAACAGGTGTACTTTTGCACACATTACACACTACCTATTACAGAATTTATAACAACATCAGCATTTACCTAACTGTCAACACTCTCCAAAGTCCATACCATAACGCAACATTGTTATACCCCCTGCTTGAAAAGCGGGAGGGTATATAGTAATCGTTAATTCCGTCCATCTGTTACGCTTTGGGGTACCCATCTCTTATCCGCAACTCCTCTCATACCACTGAATGAAATTTGATGCAACTTTCACAGAATCTTTATTACATATTGCCATTGTGCACCTCCTATTTTACTTTTTGATCCGACACATATTTTGGGTTTCCTGGCCACAGGAAAACATGGACTTTTTCACCAGTTATAACCATATGGTAGGCGGGGGGTATCATTTAGTGAGCTCATCGCTCACAGTACCTCTAGTTTTTATTTTGTCCTGTACAGTTATCAAAGTAAAACTTGAGATGTGTTTCTCCATGCCCAAAATGGTGCACAATGCTTGTAACACAATTAGTTCCTGTCCCAGGATTAGCTGCTTCATCAATGAGATAAAAGTTCTGTTTTCCTGTAAAATAAGCATGTACATAAATAACAAATCAAACAAACAAGTGTCCAAATAAACATGTAGTAGTAATACAGCAATCACTCAACACAAGTTTTTCTCCATGGATTTTTCAATGTAGTTTTGAAAATTATAATCATGTAAATAAAAATCAAAGATATTACATGGTAAATGTAACATAATGTTTAAAAAGGGTACCCCCCCCCAAAAAAGACACATTCATATTGAAAGGTATAAATGAAATCTAGGTTAAAAAAAATGAAGTGATATAAGTATTTAGATCATGAATATCACCAATAGGAAAAAGATTCCTTAGAACAGCTTTGATGAGGAAAATTACCTGATCCTTCAGAGCAGATATCAAAACCATGGCATTGATGAGGGGTTTAAAAGTAAATCGGCCCCACTTGTTGAGCATGGTGTGGAATATGAACCTGTTTAGCAAAATCCCAGGAGTAGTGCAAGGTGGTTTGAACTGACTGTGGTGGGTTACCTGTTAAAAAATTACAATTTTATTGATACATGTCAAAGAAAAATTTGCTTCAAAAACTTGACTCTGATACAGCAGATACATTGTATTAAAAATATTACAAACAAATTATATGGTTTTGCTCTTCAGCACATTTGAAGCATTGACTAAGTTTATCAGAATTTCATAGAAAATTCAATTCCATGCCATGTAATATATTACATGTCTCTGTTCCATAAATGTAGATTACACAATATGTCCTACATATGATTTTACTAGGTTAAACATGTGATTTTTTTTTTGTTTGAAAACTTACCTGAAAGACGGTGTGAAAACAGTTCTGCTATAATAATCAGATCAAGCTCATCCTTGCTGACTTGTTTACAGTGCTCTCGGAATTCGATTGCTGATGATTATAATTATGTCAATAACTGTACTGCATGGTTAGAACTCCTTACAGCCACATGTATCACTCCTAAAGCGGGCCTGGGCAACATACTCTCTTGTGTCCTCATCCATTGGTTCAATATTTACTGGATCCACGTCTTCATCATTGTCGAAATCAGATTCAGAGTTTTCGTCAGAACTATTTTCGTTTACGATCACATTGTTACTTTCATCAAAATACAATTCATCTACAACGTTTAATTCTTCTATGAACCTAAGATCTTGGTTATCTAAAATTTCTTGTGGTATAGAACACGTATTTCTATTCTCTGACTCATGATGCCTCATCATTTCACTTTAGATTGACCGCCATATTAGATCTCCAATGAAAACAAAAAGAAGGGAAGTAAATCGAAAACTTCCGTTTCATTTTTTTGGCCCTTAATTTAAAACTAACAAAAGAAAAAAATATTAGCAGCTTTTGAGACAGACAACATAATTAATAATTAAATGAAATTTAAAAAAGAAACTATGAAATTAATAGGCCTAAGTGAAAAAACAAACAAAACTAAGCAAACACGTGTCTAACGTTTTTAGCGAGCCATGCTTGTATCTATGACGTAACGTCGAAGGTTTGATCGCCGATTTCTCATTATGACGTTTGCCGCATCTGGCCCCATTTTCCCAGTCGCAGTCACATATATGTTTTAGATAAACTATTATAAATAATTAATGAAAATATTTGCAATAGAAACTAGAAATCAATATCTGTACAGTACTTTTTTTTTTGGTTGATTATAAATTGGTCTCTATTTATAAACTCTGTAAATTCAGACAAAGACAAATCCATTGAATTTCATCATGTTCATGGTAAAATGTCAACAGAAAGTTATCTCTCTTATCAGAGGGATATTACACCTTAAACATAAATGTTTGATGAAATATCTCATAAAATTTTCCTTTTCAATTAAACACCTTTATATCTTGCAAATAAATTTCTCTCAAAATACTACAAGTTAAGAAATGTAACTAGTACATTCGTCAAAACTTTATGTAGATATATTACCTTCAATTTGTAGATATTTTTCTATTTTCAATACATGTAGAGTTTACTGCATGGAAGTCTGATCATTGAAAATGGATGTGGAATCTAATCAGGATCTCTGCGAAGATCTAAACACAATAAAAAAGACAATTATTATCAACATATAATACTTGTTATCACATTATAAATTTCAACTCTATGCTCTTATTAACAAAGAAATTCACTTCGTGTTAAGGTAAAACGCAATGTAGTTTGAACTTTATTGGGCTCTTCCCTGGAGTTAAGGAGAGATGATACAAACAAACTTTTGTCAAAGAATTCGAAAATAACAACTTGGATCATGTTTAAAAGAGTAAAATAAACAACTTTCACCGTGTAGTCATCTTCAATTTAAATTTGCACAAAAATGGAATTTGAAGTGAAAAATATTAGAATAGATTAATAAGGATAGTTTCAGAAGGGCAGACTTTTGAACATCACAGAAAATTTACTATTTCTTTATATTCTAGAAATTTTTTATTTGCATTATTTGCAATGAAATATTGCCAAAAAATATATGTCAATCCAGGCCTCCATTTTTTTGTTTGTATCATCTGTCCTTAAAGAGTTCCACTAAATGAAGGACCTGTATGCAATACATTTCATGTCTATATATGGATTTGTACACCTCTTCTAAAACAAATTTTGATGGAAAAAACCTGGAATCTATGTTTTGTAATTTTGTATATTTTTGTTTCAGTTATACAAAATTTTTCATAATTTCTTCCAAAAACCACTAGTAATGCATGCTGATTTTTTGTCTATGAACATCTGATAGGACCATATTGTTAAATTAAGAATATCTTGAAAAATTATCTATAGGTAACGTACCTTGCCTATGTCGTTAAATACTGATAAGTTATTAACACTAATTAATATTATATCACCCCAATAATGTCACATGTTCTGTCAACCATTGAAAAGGCACAGTTTTTTTAATGAATATATAAAAAAAAGAGTTAAACTTATTATCAGGACCAGTGATTTTGAAATAAAGATTATTACAGTAAAACTTGGTGATAACGAAGTTGCTGGGACCTATGAAATTACAAGTACATTTGTACATCGTTACATCCGTAATTTGCTATATCCATATAAGGAATTCCTTAAATTTATGTAGCTCGGGATCCAAAATAAATTTGCTATGTCTGTGTTCGTACTTAATGAGTTTTGCTGTAGTATGTGCAGTAACAGACTAATTCCATTTCTCATCAAGCAAGATGAGAGATAATTCCAGATCAAAATAATGTGAACTCAAAATTCATCTAAACCTTTATTTTTTTGAGTTCTCACATGAATTTCAACAGCTTCATGATAACTGAAATGTAATGATTTTTTGTGCACACAGGCTTTCACAGAATCAGTAACATATACATGATCTAATGTTGTTGCACCCTCTGTTGTGTAAAAATGCACCAACTGCATATATCCCAAAGATTTTAAGAATGTTAGTATCGGTCCTTGCACTTTAGCATCTTCATTCATGTCACCAATAATAATCAAGTTGCTAAAACGCTTCTTGTAAAAATCCACCACTTTTTGCAATGTGTCAAGAAAATTGTTTACAGGCAGTACACGTGGTCGGTAGAGTAAAATGATCGCAATATCCTCCTCATGTATTTCGACAACTAATCCCTCTATATTCTTGTATTCCAAAGAATTGATCAAGATTGTCTCATTTGTTTTCTTCTTGTATACTCCAACCCCACCACCTTTAGCTGTTTTTAGGCTTGTCACCACTTTTTCACCATCATCATAACACTGGCTACGTGGAATATGGTGAAAGTCAAACCCTGGAATTTCAATTTCTTGGATGTTCTCATGTTCTCCCAGCCAAGTTTCTGTTAAACATACAAAATCAGCTTTCATCAACCTGTTGTCACAATTCATCTCCTGAAAGTGTCCTCTCAAACTTTGTACATTAAACAAAAGAATTGTTTTGTAGTTTTCAAACTTTGCTACATTGCATGTCCATTCTTCATCTAAAATGTATCTCTCCATTCTACTAAGTGCTAACTTCACATCTAAATCAGCATAAATTTTTTTCTGCAGGACACTTTCATCACTTGTCTCAATGAATAGACCATCTTTTGAAGTAACTCGGCTGACAGCGACATATGCTTGGCCAGGAGAGAAAGTCCGATCTAAATTCACAACAACATTCTTGGCAGTCATGCCTTGAACTTTATGTGCTGTGCATGCCCATGACAGTTTCAGTGGAAATTGATGCCTGACAACACTCTTTATATTTTTCTCATTCATCTCTTCCTCCACTCTTTTAATTGGGACAATATTTCCATTAGGTGTTTTCTTCCCTTGTATTTTACCAATACTTGTACTATCAAAAATGACTTCAACTACTTCTACTGCATATGCAGGCTGTTTTCTTTTAAACACAAAATTTGAAATATATCCCATTGCACCATTGACTAGTCCATCCTCAACACATACATTTCGTGTTAGCATTACTCTTGCATTCACAGCCAAAAGTAAGGAAGCAGAGAGGCCATCAACTCGTGTACTAACCAAAGGTTTGTCACGTAAAGTTAATTTCCCTGTTGTCTTGTCTTTCTGATAATCATCAGCATGCACTTCTATTAATTCTTCACAATTCCCATGCAACATTTTAATATTGTAGTCATTTGCCTCTTGGTTTGTTGAATAAACATGAAGAACATCATCTGGTCCATCTCTGATACATTCCCGCAGTGTTTCCAATGCTTCGTCTGATAAGGGCTCTTCACATGTTCGAATACGCAGTGAATTCAGAACAGTTGCAAATGCTTTATCTTCACGTTGTCGCATTATTTCATCCAATTCTACAATTTTAAAAAAATCTAGCCAGTAGTCAATTGGATATGAACCATTTTCTTTATACAACCTCTCATCTTTTCGTTGTTTAACAGGTGGAAGTTGATAAAAATCTCCAACTGCTATCACAGATATGCCACCAAACGGTTCTTTACACTTTTTTATTTGGACAAGTCGCTCATGGATGTAATATAATAGTCTTTTGTACACCATGGAAACCTCATCAATGACCAAAATCTGCAAATGTTCCAATCTGGTTCTTATCCCACTCAAACTTTGTTCCTTCAAGGGTTGATATGGAATTGGTAAAGCTTTTGTTAAAGCAAACACATGATGAATGGTATTTCCTCCAATATTGAATGCTGCTGTTCCTGTAAAAGCTGTGAGAATCACCGATACTGCATTTGGAGATGGCAGTGATTTTTCAAAGATACGAGATGCTTCGTAGTGTATTGTCTTAATCAGATGGCTTTTCCCTGTCCCTGCTCCTCCAGTTATAAAAATGTGCATAGGCTGTACATTTTCTCCTGATATTTTCTTGACACACCACTCATGAACAGCATAAAAAATCAGCTTCTGTTTGTCATTCAAACTGCACAGTAAAGGAAGCATCTCTTTTCTGGTGCTTTGAGATTCCCTTAAATGATACATAGCATCTTCAGAACCACTGCACTCAATTTCATTTGTGACCTCTGATTCTGTATTCTCCTCATCATTTCTTAATTTCTCATTCAAACATTCTCTTCGATTTAATTCTGTTTCTGGACATAAACTTGCCCATGCGTCCTCTGGTTCACCAAGCATTTCTAATGCATCCTGGGCATTTTCAATATCATCCTCACTTTTTGAAAAGTAAACATGATTACTATCCACTATGCTTTTTACTTTTTCCAAGTTTGACTTTGATTTCATTCTCACATGTCCACTCTCATAAAATGTCTGGTACAAATCAAATCCAGTTGGTCTCAACTGATTCAGATTCCAGTATGGGAGGAAAAGTTGTAGCAGGCACTGATAATACTTTTCAGGCGCGTTACCTCGATGGAATCTTGGATATCGTATAACAGCAGGTTTCCCTCTACTTCTCTTTTGAATGTAACCCTTTCCATTTCTCAATTCATACACACCATCTTTTTTGCCCTTAGGAATCTGAGATTTACTAAGCACTCTGTACTCCGAACAAAATTCAGCAAGACACATTTCATAGAAAGGATTTAACTCAGGACGGTTTTCATATCTTTCCACAATATTTGTCATCCACATGCTATCTTCTTCTTCATCATCATTGTCATCTGCTATAAAATCATTTTCACCACTCCCAACTTGCTGATTCTTTTTTATTTGTGCAAGAGGCTTACTCAAACGAGTTGGATTTTCCCCCACAGGTATGAAAATGACTTTTCTTGAACTTTCTTTCATCTTAAGATTGCATACCCTGTATACTGCTTCCTGTGCACTGACCTCTCTGTGATTTAGATAAGCCGATCCTACCCTCTTGATGGTATCATGTGCACTCAAATTTCCCTCTGCTGCTTCTATTCGAGTTTGCTTTAATAGCATTCCCATTTCCCTTTCAGACTTTGAAATGTATGATATAATGTAGACAATGCAGCTAAAAGGGTCCAATACATACTGAATGTCCATATTGGCATCCCAGCTTTTGAGCAGGCATGGATTGTACTGATTTGTCCACATTTCTGTTGGATTTCGTTTCAAAACAGTGGTTGTCTTAGAGGCCAATACTCGATGTGCTTTTTCATACAAATCCTGTAATAGGTTAATATTGCTGAATATTTCCTCTGTTGTTTTACATGCCTTAGCATCATCCATTACTTCATTCCACACCTTCAACAAAATCTCTTTTGCCTGTGCACTACCTAACTCACTACTTGACTCACTACTTGACTCATCCACATTTTGTTCTAATTGTCTTGAAATGAATGTGCACTCTGAAGGCGGTCTTGGAAAATTGAACCTACATTCTGTTCCTTTCTTCCTACACGATTTGGAGTGTCCTTTGCTGTGTTGTTGAACATTCAATACAATTTGTCTAAGTTCTTGGTCAGTGTCTTCTGATGGCAGAGCACATGTAACATGCTTATCAATGAAGTGACAAACAGTCTCCTCACTATCTTCATCCAATTTTGGAGCATTCTCAACCCAGTACAAGCAGTGCATATGAGGAGAACCCCTCTGCTGAAACTCAACTCTAACAAAGTAATCTACAATAGTTCCTATGGGTTTTGCTGGTGACATTATTACATTTTTCTGGAATACATGGAACCTATGTTCAAACATTCTAGCAACCGTTACAGGATTGCTTCTCAGAATTTCACTTTTCTCAGACCAATCTAGATCAGAAGGATTTCTATTGTCATTCATATGTAGCATAATTGAACCCAGTATTTCATTCCACCTGAATTCTGCCGCAGAAAAAGAACAAAACCATGTGGGGATTCCAAGTTGTCGGAGCATAGCAAAAAGATCTTTTTGTGTACTTGACCAATATGCAGGTGTTCCTCTAATTGGTTGCATAAATCGCATAGCCTCATCACTCTTAAGCAGTTTTGCAAGTACAACAGGATTTTGTAACATTTCTGTCGTGACAGGTATCCCTCCATCAAGTTTCGATACAGATTTGCGAATTGAAATTTGTGTTTTCTCAATAACCTGGTTCAATTCAGATAGGTATTGACAAAAGAAAATGTAATTGGTATCCTTTGCAAATCTGTTATCTGCATTCATCAGCCTGTTGTTAAAATATCGAGAAAGGGTTATCCTTACATCTCGACTTTCATTCAATGAATATTTTCCAGTTGGAAATAAATAAGGAAAAGTTTTTGCTTCATTGCCCTCCTCTTGCAACATTCTTACTGGATTCTGTCCTTCACCCGGAGCAAGATTATACACATCATCAAAGTAGTGATCTAGAACTTCTTGTGCAATATCTACAGGCTGTAAACAAGTATCTGTGACAACTTCTTCATTTACACTGTTCTGTTCTTCCATTATTTCTTCACTGTCAAATGCTTCTGGCTGGCTGAATAAGGTACTCTGGTCATTATCCTTTTCCCATGTTGTGTTGATTTCAACATCATGATACCACTGATTGTTTTCTTTCAGGTAGTTGAGAGCTATTTTAATGTGATTTGGATTTACAAACTGATATTCATAATATCCTTTGTATGACAACTTTCGTTTGAGTTTAACTCGTAACAAGAGATTTTCATTTCCATTCAGAGGTAAACTGCTTGTTTTCTTTATGTTTGATGGCACACATACAACAGGTCCATGTACATTTTGTTGGCCACCTTTTGGAAGCAGGGTTACTTTCATGAAAGGTATATGCAGAGCAATTAAATGCTGCTCTAAAGTATTCAGATCATTGAGCTCTGGTGGAATATCTTCCAAACACATTTTGTTAAAAGCTGCTTCAGCTGGAACATTTCCACTTAGAATTTTTCTATGACATGTGAAACAAATCCATGTTCTTGCTTTGGGACAATTAGGAGAACATCCAGATGCACAAGTATGAACATATTTCTTATCAATGCATAAATCTGCAATGTGAGCTGCCTTAATACTTTTCTCATACATTTCAGGTGTACATCCTTGTACCTGGTTTTCAAACAAAAGGCGATGGCAGCAGCAACATACATATTCTGGTCCATGTCTAACACTGGTTTTAAATGATTTTACTACTTCATCAATATTTTCAAGCATTTCATGCAGTGCTCGTCTTTGTTTTTGTACAGATTCCTTTTTCTGTACCTTTGTTTCTGCACTGGAATGATACCTAACTTTACTAGCTGTTTTAACCTTCTCTTGATGCTGTTTGTTTGTTTTATACTTCTGCCTGCTTCTGTGTTTGACTTCTTCTCTGTGTGATTGATTTGTTTTATATTTCTGTCTACTTCTTTGTTTGACATCCTCTTTGTGAAGCTTGTTTGTTTCATACTTTTGTTTACTTCTTTCTTTCACTTTTTCTTTGTGTAGCTGGTTTGTTTTGTATCTTTTAACACCGAGCGCTTTCAAATTTTCACGATAGTTTGGATCATTTCTGTATCTTTTCTTAGCATCTGCAATGCATTTTGTTTTGAATTTTGGGTCTGTTCTGTACTTCATGTTTAGCCTACTCAATTTCTTTTCTTTAGCACTTACACCTGACATTTGAAGTTTGCATCTTTGTTGTTGTCTTTTCTGCTTTCTCTCTGTATCAATTTTCCTTCCATTTTCTTTCAAACGTAATAGATTTTGTAATGAAGTCACTTCAACATTTTCTCCATATGTAATAGATGTAACAACATTATAATGATTCTGATTTATATGATCTAGATAAATTCCACCCGATGTATTCACTTTTTCTTCTGAATTTACCATTTGTCCTGAATACGTAACCCATCTGTTCTGCGAGTATGTATGAATTTCAGTTTTCAGTAAATGGGACAGTGCTAGAATCTCTATTTCAGTTGCCCATTTTCCATCCATAAGCATGCCTGACAAGGAAATGTGGTTTTCTACAGAACTGTGACCTTGTCTTAAGAATGGTGTAAAAAGCAAACCATTTTTCAAGAGGTGATTGCATATTGCTAAACGTATTGTATGATGGTAGTCTTGTTTTCCTGTCAAACAGAACGAGATTGCTCTAAAGAAACAATTTCCATCAGGCTCAACTGCTACACTGTTCACTGGTACTGTAATTTCCTGTCCATACTGATATTGATTTTCACACTCATTCACTGAATATGGTATTCCTAAGATTTCACAATGAGTTTTCTTTTGATCACTAGAAAGTGGTAAAAATCTTTTCTGATCTTTCTCACTGCCAAGGTATTCTACCCCATCAGCATTTTGTAAACTAGAACTAGTATCACATTGAAAATTGGTCTCTTTCTCTACACCATTGAATTGTGATTCTTTTTCAATGTCAATGCCTTCTTCCTTTCTCAATGAAAGCTGTCTAATTGAGCAATGCACTCCAGTTATTTCACATTCAATTGCTTGAGCATAACCCATTGATTTTGCTAAAGACATAATATGACTCCATAGATCTTGAACAGATTCATGCAAAACTCGTGTACTTCTACCGTTTACACTTTGAAATCCTGCAGAAGACCTTGAGTGGGAATCAAATGTGAAAAAATTATGGTGAGATTTCCCAATCAAAAATGTATTTCCACCAAAACATACAAAACACCCATCACTGTCATCAAGTGCTATTTGAAGTGCCTCTAACAATTCATGAGCATTGAAGTCAGCATAATCCAGTACTACATTTGCTAAGTTTATCAGACTTGGTAAAGACTCATTTGCTTTAAACTCATACAGTCTACCAAAGCATTCAAATAACTGAGGCAGCTCACTCACTAAAAGGTATCTGCTTGCAATTGTAGAACTGCACTGTAGATATGAATACAACTCATCTCCTGTTGCCAATATTTTGTTCATATCTTCTGATTGCCATTGTTCACAATTCTTCAGTTGATGATATGCCAGTGCTGTTAAAGAGTTAGCTACACACTGAGATCCAGCATTTTCTCCAAACATTGGATCTCCCTGATGAAATGAACCCTGCACTGACAAATTCTGATTTTTTGAACATCTACCATGAGTTTCTCTAGCAACATTTTGTTCAGTATCCTTTCTATCATTGTTCTCATTGTCTTCATTCATAAAAGAACACTCACAATTTTTAACTTGAGAAATCTTCTCTTTTATGTTATTTATTTTGTTTCTTCTCGTGCATGGCCTATATTCCTCGAAAGGTTCTTTAGATTCTCTAATAAATCTTTCTGATTTCTTTTCAAATTTCTCTGATTTCTTTTCAAATTTCTCTGATTCTTGTTCTATTTTCTTATTTTCCTCTATATTTCTTTTGTTTTCCTCTATATTTCCTTTGTTTTCCTCATTGTGCCTCTCATCTTTTTTTAAAGCCCTGCTGACCTCTTCCCCCTTGGGAGGTATCAGCTGCGCCTGACCTGCTGAACCAGACATCATCCAAATGTCCGATTCAGGTACTCTCGGTGGAGTACAAACCCACGCTGGGGAGTCAGGGGATGCTACCTTGTCCTTTGGGACAATCAGACGACTTCCCCGAGGAGGTGACAACCTCGGGGCTGAGTGCATTTTCTCACTAGGAGAGGCCTGCACCCTGGCCAAGGGTTTTAGCGAAGTAGGTGGCAACCCTATAGAGCCACACTCTGAGCCAGGAGCAGCTGCATCCACTTCTCTGTGTGGAGCATTGGACTCTGTCACTGGTATTTCTGCTGGAAGATCAGGGCAGGACTTAAGTCTCTTTTGCCTCTTCTTCTCAGCATCTCTCTTGCGCTCCTTCCTACCAGTCAGTGACTTTCTCTTAGGCATCTTTAAAAAAAAATAAAACATCAAAATGCAAAACTACTACAATCAACCTTTCTAACTTTCTTTGTCACTAGTAATGTCAGTGTATATATACGAGGGTTGCTAGAAAAGTTTGTGGACATTTTGATTTAGGGACAATCTATTATGGACTGTGAAGTGTGACCTATGTTCGATTCAATTCCTATATTTTGTTTATTAATAAGTAAACAAGATGTGTTTGTGAAACACTATGCGCCCAGCGTTAACAAATTTCGAAAAAGCTATTTTTAGCATATAGCATATAGGTCACAGTCAAGGTCACATGGTCATTGACCTTGGTTTTGTTTGAAAGAACTTAATTAGTGGAGTATGCATACTAAATATGAAGTCCCTATCTCCTTTGGTTCAAAAGTTATGGCAAAAAGTGGAAAAAGCTATTTTTAGCACATAGGTCACAGTCAGATCACAAGGTCATTGACCTAGGTGTTGTTTGAAAGAACTCAATTAGTGGAGTATGCATACTAAATATGAAGTCCCTATCTGCTATGGTTCAAAAGTTATGGCAAAAAGAGGAAAAAGCTATTTTTAGCATATAGGTCACAGTCAAGGTCACAAGGTCATGACCTTGATGTCATTTGAAAGAACTTTATTAGGGGGGTATGCATGCCAAATATGAAGTCCCTATCTCTTATGGTTCAAAAGTTATGGCAAACAGTTGAAAAAGCTATTTTTAGCATATAGGTCACAGTCAAGGTCACATGGTCATTGACCTTGGTTTTGTTTGAAAGAACATAATTAGTGGAGTATGCATACTAAATATGAAGTCCCTATCTGCTATGGTTCAAAAGTTATGGCAAAAAGAGGAAAAAGCTATTTTTAGCATATAGGTCACAGTCAAGGTCACAAGGTCATTGACCTTGATGTCATTTATGTAATAAGGTAAATTATTTTGTTTTATAAAATTTGAACTTTTCTACATTTATTAATTGATTATGCCCAGCTAATAATCACCAATAATCAATCCAAATTTTATTTCCGATTTTCCATCACTAATTTTCACTTGTTTCATTTGTTTACATTAGGTTTTTCGGTCTGACAAAATTTGATTCGGTCCTGTGTGTTGATTGATTACACAGGACCGAATGTCCTGTTTGGTACAAAAAAAAACTTTCGCATAGACTGCTTGTGACATGATATTTAATCTTTTTCAAACAAAAAATTTGTTTGTATCATCTGTCCTTAAAAGTTGAATATCTGTATTAAAAATGTTGTAAACTCTTCTTCTATGATCTCTGTTGTTTCGGATATTTAAGGAAATCTTTTTAAAAATGTCTACGCATTGTTGTTTATTACTTATTTTTACATTTGAGACGAATTCCAAATAAAACTGTATTTATTACAGGAATGGGCCGTCGTATTGCTATGTTGTAACACGCAATGACCTAGGGGGCCTAGAAGTTGTTTGGTTAAATTTTTTGTTTTTTCTCCAACATTTAAATATATATATATATATATATATATATATATATATATATATATATATATATATATATATATATATATATATATATATATATATATATATATATATATATATTACAATGATGTTCAGCAGTCCAGTTCAAGAATTCTGTGTTTAAAATGTAAGAATGATACCCACCGAGAATAATCTTACTATGTTATGAGTTTTTAGTATATTTGAAGTCAAAAGCAGTGATATCCCTAGCTGCAGAACTGTAGCTCTCTGGAAAAACATATATTGATAGACCGGAGAGCTACAGTGCCACCCATTGAAAAAACTGTAGATTTATTGCGCAAAAAAAAAAGTGGTTCAGCTATTTATATGATACTAGTATTATTTCACACACACACACACACAAAAAAACAAGAAATCTGTTAGCCAATTCTCACTAGTAATACCCCCTTTTTGATTTGAATAAACACAATCACGTTAATATACACAAGTTCAATTACGGGCAAATGCAAATAAAAATATCAAGTTGACATCAGATTCATCTCAAAATTAATCACACCATATGGCATGCCTCAACAAAGAGTGTAGTAAAATTTCAAGCATCTGCTATGAATAACAGATGAGAAAACTGTGATGAAATTTTTTAAGTATGAAATGGACAGACGCACAGACAAACAGGAAGTTGATATCGAATTTACGCAAAAATGTATACCACATGACATGCCCTAAAAATGACCGTGTTTAAATTTCAAGCAGTTGCGATGAGTTAATAAGTTGAAAACTGCGACAAAAATTTGTTATGTATGAAATGGAAAGATGTACAGACAAATAGGAAGTTGATATTGGATTTGAACAAAAATGTATCCCACCTTATGGCATGCCTCAGAGAGATTTTGTTAAAATTTCAAGCATCTACAATGAGTAGTTGCTGAGAAAACTACGATGAAAATTTGTAATGTATGAAACGGACAGACGCACAGACAAACAGGAAGTTGACATCGGATCTGGACAAAAATGTATCCCAACATATTACGACATGCCTCAGAAAAGACTGTGTTAAAATTTCAAGCACCTGCAATGAGTAGGGCCATCCTTAAAAAAATGTTTGTTTGGAATTGCTGCCTGGGGGTTTTCACACCCAGGAGGGAGGGAATTTATTTTATTTTTATTTTTTTACAAATTAAAGCTTATAAATAGAAATTAAAAATAGCAATGAATAGTGGTGATTTTCGTTAATTTCCCTCTTTCTTTTATTTGGTTAATATCATTTTTGTCTAAAATATACACAAAATGGTACTCAAGTATCAATCTTTCCTCGATGTTCGATTTGCTTATCTATTAAAAGTCAAATTTCAGCGTCAAACTTTTTTCTTTATTTTAAAAATCTTTTTTAAACAATTTCTTTATAAATCTTTTTAAAACAATTTTATTAGTGTATTTCATAGCATTTCTCTTTGAAATTTAGCCCTTCACAAAATTTCTTAAGAATAGTTGTGAAAAAACGGGAGGGGGTGCTTGGTATGTTCTAGAGTGATCGCCATGAATCAGTTTTAACATTAGGTTTCAAAGACTTGTCATACTGACAGACAACATTTTTCCTTTTATATTTGGGAATAAACATTTCTGCCCCATGTAATTTTTTCACTGGGAACTGAACGATCATTTTTAATTTCAACATGACGGACTTATCCTATCAAGTTCAAAGGGCAATCTATTACAATAGCTCTTTCCAGGTATAGGTGTATCATTCCATTTAATTTTTTATTCACCTTTTATTTTGATGAAGATGCATAAATGTTCTGGTCTTCAACGCTTGAATGTTTTCATATCCACTGATCCAACTTATTCTGACATTTTGGCGGCTTTCATTTTGTCAAATCGCCAACTATATTCCCTATATCATAAATACTATGAAGAAAGTGTTTTATTGACCGGTGTTGTTAAATTTATGTGAGCTCAAACCCGACTTTAAAAAGCTATTTCGAAGAACGAGCTAACTTGTAAAAAGCGATGTCGGACATCAGGGATTTATCAAGGCTGTTTTTACTACCGGTAAACGGTACCTTTCCCCTCTTGAAAAAAGTGAAAAAATTCCCCTTTTCAGATAGAAAATTCTCTATATTTAAAACATCGTACTGAAATTTTCCGTTTTTGTCCGATTGAAGTTTAACAGCATATCCTAATTTACCATCCTAGTCATTCAAACGCTTTTAAAAGAGAGAGTAGAATATTCAAGCTTTTATTTGATATTGATCGGTAAACATGTGCCATGTCCATGATGTCAAAATATACGTCTGGATTGCAGAGTTAAAAAGAAAAGTGTAGATTAGTAAGACAGAGCTTATATCACTATGGATCGGAAGAATGGAGTAGCAACAAAAACAATGTTAGTAGTGAAACAGGAAAAACAGAATTGATTTGTGATAGATATTGAGAGAAAAAATTAAATAAAGTATTGACCTAGTTTAACTTTTTTTTTTTATTTAATATTTTGTCTAAAAAGTGAAGTTTTTGTGGCCTTTGTAAAGGCCTACAAATGGCCCTCAGAAACTCCAAGAATGCAGGATTTTGCTCCATTTATTTAAAAATTTTCCGGGGGGGCATGCCCCCGGACCCCCCTAGATTACTCGCGCCTCCGGCGCTCATATCGAGTCTGCGGCTCTCATTTTCCCCATTTACATATAAAACAAAAAAGCTAGATAAATCCCTGGACATAAGACGGTAAAAAAAATATTTCCAATATTTTGCCAATAAAATTTTTTGAGCGGGGGGTATTTCAATGAGGCGGCAGCAATTCCAAACAAACTATATATTTTGGCCTAGTTGCTGAGAAAACTGCGATGAAAATTTGTTATGTATGAAATGAACAGACGCACAGATAAGAGTGCAACGATAAACCGTTTGTCGGTATACCGCGGTTCATTTTTCCACGGTTAGGTTCACGATACGTGAAACTGATACCACGGTTCGGTTCAATCGGTCCGTAATTATCCGAATCGTCCATTTTGGTTCGTCATTTACAATTTCAAAATGGTTTCCGTACGAAACATGAGGTCAATGAAACTGCAGAAACGGCAAATAAACGTGTTTCCAGTCTCATATTTAACGGGCCGAAGAATGTTATCACTTTTCTAGTGTTAGCGTAATGAGCATTTGATAAGACTTATGAGTTTTAGGCATATGATGACAAACGTCTGACTTTTTAACCTAATATGTCATGTATTGTGATACGTATCGTACCGTGAACTGAATACCGTGATACGTATCGTATCGTGGGGTAGGCGTATCGTTGCACCCCTACGCACAGACAAACAGTAAGTTGACATCCGAATTAAAGAAAAATGTATCCCAACATACAGCATGCCTCAGAGAAGATTTGTGAAAATTTCAAGCAACTGCAATCAGAGGTTGCTGAGAAAACTGCGACGAAATTTTTTTTTTTCCAGACAAGCATATGGACAGGCAGACAGCTAGATGGACAGACAGACACACAAGGATAAAACAGTATACCCCCCTCTCCTTCAGAGCGGGGGTAAAGTAATTTAGCATG